CATAATACCATGCCATGGTTTGGTATTAGCATGCATGAGCAGTCAGGTTTGATGTTGCAAACTCCACCCTCCCTCTCTCATACTCTTGCACACTGCAATTTCTAAACGGGGTTCTTGGCAAACGATTTTGCTATTGCATCAAAAACATGGTAATCTATAGTCTGAGTAAGCTGTAGTTTGCTCCTAAACCAGAATGAAACCATGACCAGGGATCTTGGTTTAAAGGCAAATCATGGTTTTCCTACAGTCCAGAAGGAAGCCAAAGTATCTACTTACGTTGTCCACAGTAAGTACCAATATATCCCTTCTGGCACTGGCACTGGTCTTCTAGGCAGGAACCGCCATTCATGCATCTGATACTGCACTGTTGTACTGCAGCAAAACACAAACCATTTAAAATTATGGCAGGTAGCTTTAAAAAATGCACAACCACCAGTCAAGCATGCAGTGATATTTCAAGGCTGCCCAAATACTTGCGATAGGTATTAATTTAAAGCAGAAAATAGGAAATAACCACATAAGAATACGTAACATATTTCAGCACCTCATTAACTGGAAAGACTTTGCTGTAATCTTAAAAGCGATCTAAGGCACGTTATTTTAAGCTACAGGCATGGAGCTAAAGGCTGGTGAATTCCAATGCATGTGTAACTAATTCCTTCGTTTGCTGCTACCCTGTCAGAAAAATGGGGAAGTCTCTCACCTCTTCACTTATACACACTTGCCTCCCCACTTTCTCACATTAAGATATCTGTGTCCCCCCCTCCCACCACTGCATCCTTGTTCATGACACTTCTTTTTTCTGTCCACCCTTCTCTCTTCTTGTGCTGTTGGGGTGAAACTACTCTGCCAAAAACAGAGAATAGGCATGGTGCTCTGAATTTTGCAGTAAAAAAACAACAATCCAACTATAACTTTTGCCTTTAGACTGCCATACTCAATATATTTTTCCTTCCTCTAATTTCACTATGATATTATCCTTCTCTTAAGTCTCTGCACTTTCCCCTTTAGATTTATGTTGTCACTTTGACGCTCCTTTGTCTTTATCTCTTTTATCCTTTATCTCAAAGGTCTTTACCGTTCCTACAATTGGTTTCCTTTTTTCCTTTTCTTATATCAACCTCATCCCACCCACCCATTCATTCTCTGACCTCAAGGTCTTTTGTTCATTATTCTAGGTGCACAGAATAATCGACATGAATTAATATATTACTACCTTCCTAAATTTTCTTTATTAAAACAGAGGCTGCAATCCTATACCCAGTTACGTGGGAGTATGACCCATTGAACTCAGTAGGACATGTTTCTCGGTAATACTACATGCATAAAACTGCACTGCTGATAACTTCAGGAGATAAGGTAATTCAAAATACAAAACATCAATTTTAAAAATAAAACAAGAACTACATACATAAAAAGACCCCAAATAGGATCCTCCTAAATCGAGGGTCCTGGTTGCACTCGGGACCCTTAAGCCACCCCCACGGGGTGTGTTGTTGCTAGGCGTGGCCCAAACCTTATCTGTTGGGCCCCGGGATCGCGCTTGGCTGTTTGGGCCAACTGGGGCAAGTGGCGTGATCCCAGGGACCTATAAGTGCAGCAGCACGACGGGGGTTGGGCACTCGCTTCGCACTGCTGAACACCCGCCCTCCCTCCCTATTTTAGGTGCTGCTGCTGGTTTGGATTGGGTCGCCTGCTTTGGCACAGGGGCTGGGTAGGAATTTTTCCATTTGGAAGATTGGCTTTAGCCACTTGGTTTTTGCCTACCCCCTTAGCAATCTTCACAACTTTGTAAGGTTTGGCGGTTAGGCATTGGTTGATATAAATGTGCGGGAGGGGAGGCGTGGCCTTCACCTGCCCCTCCAGAAATAGGGTATTCCAGTAAAGGAATCTGGGGGTCCTGGATCTCGTCCGAAGTCCGCTTGAGGGGCTAGGGCCATGCCAGGACCACAGGAACCCCAGGGTGAGCTTCAATTGATCTTCACCGATGTTGCTCCCTTGTTTGGTGTTTACCCTTTCAGACTGCCAGCCAGAGAGGCAGGAGTCAGTTATAGTCCCTGACCAATGCATAGACCAATACTGCTCAATTTGTTTTGTAATCAATAAAGTTGTGGCCTAAATTTTACCCAAAAACTTAAACTAAAATTATGTGTCTGTTTGAAGTTATTTACTGGGAAAGGGCTGGGGGGCCTCAGAGCGTGAGCAGAGAACTGAAGTAGCTGAACAGCAAAAACTAAATGACGTTTTCCACAAATGCGTTCTTAAATAAAGGTGTTTTCACTGTTCACTGAAAGGCAAGTAGGGACAGAACCCGTTGGACCTTCCATGGGAGGGCATTTGAGACACACAGTCATAAAAAGTAAGGAGCAGGAATCTTCTATATGCAAAGCAGCACCTTTTCATGCAAAAGAGGGTAGGGAAGATGAGACAGGTAACTCTCTCATGCACTTAGTATTTATCTATCCTTAAACACTATCCTAGTGTAAAAAGCTGCAAAACACTTTTTCTCCCTAACTTTAAAAATGGAGACTTTAGGCCTTACTTGATTTTGTTCCACAGGTTGGCGATATCTGACCACTGGAACAAGTGCACATGTTGGGGCGAGAACAAAATCCATCACCACAGCTATTTCTACAAATTGCTGAGGAAGAAAATAATGAATCAAAATGCTTGTACATCTTAAATTGCTTAAGAAACACTGGCAAACAAGATAAATTGTTTGCTTAAATGTGTCCAATTCCAAACCCCCCCCCCAGAACATAAGCAACTGTGTATATGCTGAAACAATATTACTTTTGTTTTTGCTTTTGTGTTTGTTATGCTAGCTTCACTTTTACTAAAAACAGGACTGTAAAGATAGAATCTGTTACGATGCGCTTAAAATTTTAGAGGGTGGTACAAAACATTACTTCTCTAAGAAGTGAGACTTGTGTGCTAAATACAGGTAAAAGTCAGTCTGGAAATCAGAATATTCTAAAATTATGCAGTGACATTTTACTTTTGCATGTAAGGGCTGAGAGACAAAACAGATGTGACCTTAAGCGTGTAAATGCATTTAAGACACCTGTTTTTGCTATCAAGATAATAGCCACAAAGGAGGGTAGGATGAGTTGGATCAGGACCATGGCACTGGGTGTGGGGAGGAATGGGAGACAGGGCTAAATTCTTTCCTTTAACGCTGTGGTCCCAATGAACCACTGGCAACCACTGGTGCCAATGGAAATTTCCTTCTTGGGGTTATTAGCATCTTTTTGAAATGGGAGGGGAATCATTGCAACCATGATGTGGTCCACTTATTCCACAGAACCAAACCTCCTACCTTCCCCATGGCTGTTATTTTGATAATAAAAAGCAGGCGAATTAAATTCATCCACATATTTAACAGCAGGATTGTTTTATCCCCCATAAGCCTAAACTATGGGCTTTCCAGTTGGCAATAGTATCTTCAAAAACAATGCTAACAGCTGACTTTTTCCTAGCCAAAGCATACATAGAGCTAGTCAGAGACTTTGAAGTTCCTTTGCTGTAAAGATACATGATTACCTCCAGACAAGTGACTATTTTTGAGATACGGTTCATTCAAACGTTTTCTAGGAATATTAATTTTAAATATCTCTCTGACCTCGTTTTAGAGACAATGGAATATTTTCTAGCTTAATTGACACATTTAAAAGATGAGCAGATGGAACTTCCCACACCTGTTTTAGCTACTGCACTGCAAGGAATAAATAACTTTCCACAGCTAAAGTGCAATACAAATGATACGTAATGAAATTAGTATTTTCACAGCTCCAGCGTATCCATGTTTACTCAGAGGAAAATCCAGTGTTCAGTGCAGCTTACTTCCAGGGTTGCTACCTTGTTTGAGACAGCAATACTTGCATAGGACTGTTACCTTGTTTGAGCTTTTATTGATGGTTATTGAAATATGGACAGCACTCTACATGAATATAACAAACTGGCTATCTAACTCATACAGTAGGTTTTCAGAGGACTGATGGAGAATATTCAGGCTGACCACATCTATACTCCAAGCACTGCATCTATATTAACGCTTTTCAATGTTTTAGCAGCATATTCTGAGCGATCTTCCCCATGTGAAGCTGACTAGATATTCACATGTGCCTTTGAGGCCCTTTCTGCTGTTTTGTGCACAGTGTTAATAATGGATGTTGTTAATATGGGATATAACACAAAACAGAAAATGAATGTATATCGTAGCCGAGATAGGTTTTACATTTGCATTACATAACAATTTAAGCCAAAGCTGTTTCAAGCATCATGTGTGAAAATGTTCTAAAGATTGGGCTGCAATATAAATTAAACTTTGACCAAAAAATGCCATAACTGAGAACAGAAATAAAATAAAGGTCACCTTTCCACCACTTGAGAAAGTAGAATAAATATTTAAAACACAGATCTATTCTCTTACTTTTATTAGCCAGCTATGCATTGTTTTTCTGGGTTAGGAAACTTTTGCCTATATGGTGCAGTTAAGGTTAAGGCCAACTAGACACCTGGGTCAGAATGTGAACAAAATTCCTTCATAACTAAGTTTAAAATTTCAACCCCCAGTTCAGGTCTTCTTAGTCACTTGATTTGCTGAATGGTGCATCAGGATATGAGTTAGAATGGATTATCAGGACTACACTAACAAAAGAAATTTATTGCCCCTTCAACAGCCCTTTGAGTTCAATAGAAGGAATTCTTGGTTCTGGGTCTATACTTTTTGGGAAGCATTGTAGCAGTGCTGGTAACTATTGCTGCATTAGTATTGGGGTTGGGGAATTAGACCTCAGCAACTATGTAAAGTTATGTATTGTGCCCTTGCAACAGCTTTGGAGATGTGGCACCTGACTTTATAAACTGTTACTGTGTCACAGTGCAAGAGCTCAGGCCATAAACTACACTAACAGTTCATAGAATTGTAGAGTTGGAAGGAACCACGAGAAACATCTAGTCCAAGCCTTTGCAATGCAATGGGGCCATGCAATAATCTTTGTCCCAATGTGGGGTTCAAACCCATGACCCTGAGATTAAGAGCCTAATGCTCTACAAAACTGAACTATCCTTCAATCCTAGGCATGCCACCTGAGAAATAAGCCACGCTCAGTTCAATGGAATTTACTCCCAGGGAAGTTTACAGCAGGCTACCCTCCTATACAAATTCCTGGGAGTAAGCCCCACGGAACACAGTGGGCCCCACTGAACACATCATTTTACTTTTGATTAAACTTGCATTGCATTGTGCTCTTAACTTATAAAACCCCAACTGCCTGAACCTCTTCTCTCTAAATCCCAGAGATAGTGGATGTTGATAATATTAGTCAGTGGGGAAATAAAAGCCCTCTAGTCTGCATATGCCCAAATGAACTTTAACATTTTTCACATGTTCCAGGGCTGAACTCTGACCTTAGCCACAGGATGTAGGCTCACTCCTGGTGAGTCCAAACCACAGTTTAACTGATTTACATGCTTTTGTCAAGTCTTATCAGTTGTCACATAGCTCAGCACAATAAAGAGCTTTGCCAAATAAACAATCATGTTGTTGTTAAATATATATTTAAGAAAATCTAATCTAGATCTATTGTAGCACAGCCCCGAACTAACAAAAACAACCAACAGCCTTATGTGAAATATTATTCCTAGGTAACTCAGCTACATTTTCTCTCTGTTGATAAAGTACAACCTACTTTGCTTAGTATTTGACTATTTCTGTTTTAAGTGTTCATTGCTGGATTTCTAAATCTGTAAAAGGGCATTTTTTAAATCAATAGATTTGTGAGTTAGTGTCAAGTTCTTAAAAGCATGATGGAAGCCTAAACTTAGCAACCAGAGTAGATTAATTCCTTACTTCCTTTTTAAAAGGGTAATTAATTAAAATTCAAAGATGTCTTTTGGATGGATTATTACTCAGAGGTTGTAAAATCTGAAGCCAAACACTTACGAACAATACACTGATTTCCCCCAGGGAGTGTTTTCCATCCAGGACAACAGTAGGAGTGGAATCTGGAGCCACACACATTTGGCCTGTTATATGCAAACAAGTGTGTACACAAAAAATATAGGTCAATGGAAACAGATTTTAGGTCTGCAGGATAAAAATGCATTGGCCTCAGAAACAACATGAAAGCTTTTTTTCTTTTTCTTTTTCCAGAACCCTCACATTTCTTAATAAAAAAAGCATTTCACTGAATCCCTCCCTCCAAGAGCTAAGAACCCCTCTCTTTAGCAAAAAGCAAAAACAGACAATGACTAAGTAATAAGAATTTAGTAAGGTACCATTTTTAAACAGTTCTGAACAATGGACCAAATGCATGCTCTACTGTAACTACTTTACAAGCAGTAAATAATTCACACCAAACATATCTAAAACAGCCTTTTCATCTTAACACCATGAGTTACATTTTGTATGAAAATCAGATTTTTCTAGAGGTATATTAGAAAGATTTAAAAGTGGAAAGTAATGATCATGCATTTTATAACTTAGTATTTTAAATCCTCCCTCAACCAATCTGAAAAAACATGTTTCTTCAGCAGATTTTAATTGAAATCACCCTTCAGCACTGTTATAGCAAAGACCATTAAAAACTTGATCATGAAACTGAAGCAATATTTGCCACATTTGGTATTGCTATTAGTGTCGTATTTACACATGCTTTCTTTTGCAAAAGCCAGATGTTTTTTACACCACTCTCAAGAAACATATGGAAACTTTCCAAGATGGACCAAAATTTAAAATTAACATTCAAATCAAGCCAATCAGTAGACATTAAGAAGAAAAGCAACAATTACAGAGGGGGGAAAGGACAGAAGTAAATGGAGACAACTGCTAGTATTTGGATTGAAAGTTTGAAAGGGAATGCACAGATGTGTGATGGGACTGATTAGGAAAACAAGCTGTATAGAGAGGTGGCTATTGGGATACAACTGCATCTTAACAAAACAGCCTGGTAGAGACAAGATCAAAAGAAATGTGGCTGTCCATTAGAGCTAGCTGCAAACCAGTGGTTCCTATGTATTGCCTTGTTGGTAGGTTTTCTACAAGACAACTTCAAAGTTAAAGGCGTAATCATAGGAGCCAACTCCTAGGGGCTGAGGGGTCTCCAGCCTCCTTGCCATAAAATATTTGAGGGGCCCAGGCCCCCCCCAAAAGTTGATGGGAATTCCCATTCAAATAGTGTGTGGGCACTGCATCATGTGATCAATAATGTGGGGCGGGACTTACCTGCCCCCCCAATATGTTATTCAAGTTGGCACCCCCTGGGAGTAATGGTGTCTATTTCATGGGGACCTTTGGAGAAGTCAAATAGAAAAATAAGGCAAACCCATTTCATCTTCAAAACTGTAGCCTTCTATGAAAGAGAACCCTCAATTGCTCTATAGCAGTGTGCTTCAAGAGAGCACATTAGGACTAGTTCTGGGTGTGGGGACCAGACAGCAGGAGGGTGAAGGGAAATATTAAAGAATGTGTCCAGGTCCAAGACTTGATGCCACCCACAGGCAACTATCAATTGCTTATGGGATGTTGCTAAGTTCTTACAGGACATAAGGCTAGTAAGTGACAACAGTGGCAGAGTTAATATTGAAATCCTGGAAGAAAGATTAAAGGCTATTTGAGGTAAAAGAGAACTTGGTGGGAGGTTGATTGGGCTCTGATGCCAAGGGAGAATTATGGGTTGAAGGAGGCTGTTCATGGGAGACAAGCATTGGTGGGACAGTTATCAGGAAGTGGCTGCAGGCTTTACAGAGGCAGGATAAAGTGATGTTTTCACCTGAAACACTGAATGGTTTATCAGAAACAAGACTTACAGATGGTGGAAGACCAGTTAAAGAGGATAAATGAGCTAGAAGATAGGGACTGGGAATGTGGATAATTTACCTTTGAGTTGCACGGAAGTACTTGAAGGAGTAGAGGAGGAATATTGCCGGAGTGGTTGCATAATATGGGGTAGGGAAGGAATTCATTGGGGCTGGAGCACTGGAAATCAGGAGGTTGCAGGAAATGAGCATAGGACAAGAGGAAAGGACAAGAGGAAAGAACTTGTGATGGGCACTACAGAAGTGGTTTTAGGGGTTGTCAGCAGGGGTAGCCAAAGGTTTCATGGAAGCAGAATAAAGGTGAGCTGAAGGTTTAATCAAAGCACAGTAAAGGTGGCATTTCAGAATTTTTGCCTGTGGATCACCCAGAGGTTGCTGAGATGGTGTGCATGCACATATTTGATGGGGGGGGGGGGATGGCAGGTTGCAGCTGGTTGCGTCCACGCAGAACTTGCCGCTAAGGCAATACAAGGAGTACGACAAGGCTGTATATTGTCTCCCTGCTTATTTAACTTATATGCAGAATTCATCATGCGAAAGGCGGGGCTGGATGCATCCCTAGCCGGAATTAAGATTGCCGGAAGAAATATCAACAACCTCAGATATGCAGATGACACAACTTTGATGGAAGAAAGTGAGGAGGAATTAAAGAACCTTTTAATAAGGGTGAAAGAGGAGAGCGCAAAATATGGTTTGAAGCTCAACATCAAAAAAGCGAAGATCATGGCCACTGGTCCCATCACCTCCTGGCAAATAGAAGGGGAAGAAATGGAGGCAGTGAGAGATTTTACTTTCTTGGGCTCCATGATCACTGCAGATGGTGACAGCAGCCACAAAATTAAAAGACGCCTGCTTCTTGGGAGAAAAGCGATGACAAACCTAGACAGCATCTTAAAAAGCAGAGACATCACCTTGCCAACAAAGGTCCGTATAGTTAAAGCTATGGTTTTCTCAGTAGTGATGTATGGAAGTGAGAGCTGGACCATAAAGAAGGCTGATCGCCGAAGAATTGATGCTTTTGAATTATGGTCTGGAGGAGACTGTTGAGAGTCCCATGGACTGCAAGAAGATCAAACCTATCCATTCTTAAGGAAATCAGCCCTGAGTGCTCACTGGAAGGACAGATCGTGAAGCTGAGGCTCCAATACTTTGGCCACCTCATGAGAAGAGAAGACTCCCTGGAAAAGACGCTGATGTTGGGAAAGATGGAGGGCACAAGGAGAAGGGGACGACAGAGGACGAGATGGTGGGACAGTGTTCTAGAAGCTACCAGCATGAGTTTGACCAAACTGCGGGAGGCCGTGGAAGACAGAAGTGCCTGGCGTGCTCTGGTCCATGGGGTCACGAAGAGTCGGACCGACTAAAGGACTAAACAACAACAACAACAAGGCAATACACGCCTGGCCTAGCTCTCACAAACAGCATCAGGTCGAGGAGATAAACCTTTTGCCTGCACTGTACCACTTCAGACTGCAGGTGGAGGTCCCCCAGGTGACCTGCTCTTTGGGGCGGGGCCAATCATGACACACCTACGACTGGAGCATCAAGGAGCATCAAGCTGGGCTAGGATCCTTTTCCCCTGACACCTAGCGGCCCCCGCGTCCGCAGAGACTGCTCCATTCCGTTCCCAAGACCATGCCCCCCACCCCCGCTTGCCGCCTGAAAGTGGTACGATCCGGGCACGCGGCTTCTATAAATGCCGCCTCGCCGCCGCTGTTTGTGAGAGGCAGGCCTACCTGCGCGGCGCGAGGCAACGCGGCTTCCCTACCCCCTGAGCGCGTCCTGCTGGCCTCTCCGGCGGACTCGGTTGGTGGTGGCGGCGCCTTCCAGGCTCCTCGAGGCTGGGTAGCTGGTGCCGCCGCCGCCGCCGCCTGTTGCTCCATCCGCCGGGCGGACCTGCTGCTTGCCTTGCGCGGCTGCTCCCTGCGCCCAGAGCGCCACACAGCCCAGCCAGAGGAAATAAGGCTGCAGGCGGAGCTCCCGCCGCCTCGCCATGGTCGCGGGCGCGAAAATCCTGAGGTGCCTCAGAGAGGAGCGCCGACCTCCGGCTCGCCCCTGACTCGGGAGCTCTTCTCCCTTCCTGAGGAGAAGAGGCGTTATTCCTCCGGGCCGCGCTCTCTCTCCCCTCCACCTCAGCGCGACGCTCTGCTGCTGCGGGTCGGGGCGGCCGGGGGGGCGGCGGCGGCGGCTGCTCCTTCTTTCGCTCCGCGCTGCATCCTCCTCCCTTTTCCCGCCTCTCCGCTGCTCGCC